TATTAACACAATAAATTATTGATGAAAATGTCCATCTGTAATATGTCGGTTTTTTTTTTCTTCTTGACATTATTCGTCTGACTATAATTAGGCATCATAAATGATAATTACGCAAGTGAATGAATGTACAAATTGTTTTTTAAATCTTTCTTTCGTTGTTGTTTTTCTTCTAGTTATATAATAGAAGACAAAACCTAGAATATACAATGTTCAAATATTCTTCACTATATATATATATATATATATATAAAGAAACAAGTGTATGTTAAGATGGTCAAGTTTGTATTTACATCGAGAATGAATTCATCATTTATAAATATACTATATGTCTATAATATACGACTACTTAGAGAGATGTTTTTATACTGAGCGATCACTTAAACAAAGAACTTTTATATAATGTTTCTCTTATTGCATAAACAAAACAATTCATCCATAATAAATTAGATTTATTCTAAAAAGAGATTATAGTTAGTATTCGAGAAAAAATTTTAAACATCATCGATTTATGATAGTGAGAAAAAATTATATACTATTTTCAAGGATATATTTACTATCTTTTTATTTAATCAAAATTCACTCCTCAGGTTAAAGTAAAAAAAGATTTCTACTTATTTTAAAATGATGTACAATAGAAGGACATTTGATTTAAACAAAAATAAAAATTTGTACTAATACTATTTTATTTTAGTCTCACACACATACACACTATATTATTATTAACTTAAGCGATCATTAATAAATTATATACAAACAATATGTATATAATGTGGTTATATATAGATAGAAATGATAATGAAAAGTAGCTTTATTTTAGATAAAAAGGAAGATAAGATGTACTCGTTTTTTTTCTTTGTGTTCATCGGCATAAGGTCTATGACTATTCGTCATGTATTATAATTAAAATGAATAATTATTCTCTATATAATCGTTTGAAGTTTCATTGAGTATAAGACAAGGGTACATAATTTGATAAATTGTTCAGTTTCATGTCGAGAAAATTTTGTAACCTTGCTATATTTTGCCAACAATGTTAAGAAAATGTATTAGGATTGTTTTTTTTTCAGAATATATTCGTAGTTAGGCATCTATTGATATTATATTAGCAAAGTATTTTAGTACAATGTTTGTACGATAGCCTACGTATGTTTGAAGATAAATCTTTTTGTTTTTTTTTCTCTGTCTTTTTTTCATCGTTAAATTTTAGTACCATTGTTGGTATTTAAACGGTTTTAAATTACCGAATGACGACGACAGCGTTTTTTCTTTCTCTCTTTCTCTCTCTTTTGAATTTAATACTAAATTTGAACTAATATAGAGCATGAAAGGTATTTTAAGGACAGAAGGAAATGTATCGTTATAAAACTGTGTATTGTTCTGTTTTGTTTGGATGATACACACACTCACACACACATACTCTAGGTAATGTTAGAAGAGATTCTTTCTTTTCTTTTCTTTTTTTGATGTTCATAAGAAACCTTTTGTATGTCTACATGTAATCAGCACATTTTAAATAAGTAAGAAAGAAAAGAAATATCTCTCATAACAAATGTTTTATCAGGTAGGTGTGGTCTGAGATTGTTTATAAATAGGAAAATGTTCAGTTTGTTACAGAACTAGTTTTTTTTTATAATAGTATAGAGTCTATCTATTCTACAAGATTTTTATTCTCAGAAACATTATTTTCTATTTTATAATTAGTATGTCTATTTTAATAAATTAAAATTAAAATGATGTAGCTACATTTATTTGAAATTTGAACGATGGATATATTTCATAAACTGATGTGTCACAAATATAATAAAGAATGTAATCAAGTGTAAAAAATAAACTTTTTCTATATTATTGTAACTGTCACGACATTAATTTTTTTTATTTACTTTAGAAATATATGATAGCAGATTAAAGAAAGATTGATAAGACTAATAATAATCGTCACACAAATACAAGCATACATAATAAAAATCAACTCGTTGGCTTTTTATTTTTCATGTAGATGACCATAGATATATATACTCATATTCATATAGACCATTAAACGAGTGTATATAAAGAGAGTGAGAGAGAGAGATGCTATAACACATTTTTTGTTTGTACAGTGAATAGGCGTTCATTCATAATAAATGGGTTAAATACATCAAGTTAAAATATTCTCAATATGAATGAATAGTCATCGTTGTCATTCTACACCTTTGTTTAAGAGGAACAAAATGTGTTTTGATTACAAAATTAATTAGTAGACAGATAATAAAAAAAAAGAAAAGAAGAATATAAAGAAAGTATTTACAACAATATGAATATGAACAAAAGAGAAAATTTAATTTAATTTCTTTTAAAATGTTATGTTTTTGGACAAAAATCTCGTTGTGAACCATTGGGTAAGAGAAAAAAAGTAAAGATCGTCAGAAAAAAGTTCATATAGACTTGTTTCGAAAAAGTTGTTTTTTTTTTCTTCTGTTCTGTTCATATTTCTTGTTGTATATACCTTCTTTTTGTTGTCTGTCTACTAATTAATTTGGTGATCAAAAAATGTTGATACCCCTTGTTTAAGTGTTGTCTATGTTTGTTGAAATAAATTTACCGACAAAACAACATAAGGCTTCTCTTTATAATCCAATTAAATAACATTGTGAAATTTTTATGTAGACTGATCGAAGTTAAAAACAAAAAAAAAAACGGCTAAGAGCTACAAGAAAGAAAGAAGTCATTAAATTAACAATATATTTCGTGTAGTAGAGAAAGTATTTTTTGAGTTACTAATGGCTAATAAATGTTTCTTAAAGAATTATTCGCTCTAGGAAAAATTTCAAATTGAACAGAATAATAAGTATGTCCAATTGTTGCCTGTAAAAAGCAAAAATCTCTATAGTCAAATAATTTTTGAAGAATAATAAGCGTCAGTCTACATTAGTTACATTTACCTACTACTATCGGATAAAAATTTTCTTTTATTCATTCAACTATACGTATCATTCATTTAGTTTTTTGTACATGAACACACATTTATAACGAGGTCTACTGTGTAGATTAGAGGAAACAATAAAATTGTATAATTGCCTCTCTTTCTCTATTCTCTCCGATTGCTTCTAGGAATACTAATTTTATTTGGATTTTTTTTTTCTTCTTCTTCTTTAGCCATATATATATATATATAGTCTTAATCGTTGTCTTACATTTAAGTACCAGAACTTTATCTCAGTTATAGAGTAATGATGCAAAGATGAAAAAATTTATTATTTATTCATCTTCTCTGTCGTCTGATTACATAACTCTACAACAATAATACAATTGATCCTTGAGTACTGTCCTATCGTCACTTGCTCGATTAAACAGCATCTGTCACTCACCATGTTTCCGTCAATTACGTATTATCGGAAACGATGTTTTTACTAAATAGAATAATAATTCCTGACACACACACACATTCTCTCTTTCTCTCTCTCTCGTTCTCTTTAATTTGCTTAGATCGTTGTCACTCTATAGATTGGATTTTGATCCGGAAGAAGAGATAATTTTTTTATCTTGTCTCTATTAGATGGATGAATCGTGACATTTTTGAAGAGAAGATATTTGTCACTTTTATGTGCAAGCGTGTAGGTATTGCTCACCATAACACATTCAAAAGACTTTTTCAATACAATAATGTTATGATCCTTTGTCTAAGAACTGTTGTCTATGAATAAGATTTTTTCATGTTTTTTTTATTGTTTATTTTATATTTGGATGAATTTTGCAAGTGTATAGAGTGAGAAGTGATGATAGGTTTTGTTTACACTAAAATATGGAAAATTGATTTGTATATAGAATAACTAATTGATGTTCAATAATATGGAGAAATAAATGATCGTTTTTTTTTTTTGTTTTTGTTGTTGTTGAGATAGACAATGGCACGCCCCAATGATAGTTACACACAATCATTGTATCTCTACTCGAAAATATGTTTTTTTAAATGTCTTCAAAACAAGATTACGTAGATATTATTATTGTTTTTATTATGTAAGTATCATGAATATACTAAACTAGTTCGAGTAGTAATGCATCAGAGATTGACAACATAAAATGATTGACAATGGAGTATTAGTAGACAGTTGTATGAACAGACTGCTTCGAAATAAACCTGTAGAGAGTACAGGTTTTGTGAAGCGAGTAGTACGAAAGGAAAAGAGCGAACAAACATAAAAAAAGCTACTTTAAATAAGAGAGAAATATTTTCATGATTATTTTACCGTTCTTTTGATATCAATTGATGTTAATTCTTCTTATATTTTACTTTCATGAACAGTTGTTGTTGTTGTTGTTATTGCTGCTGTAAATGATTTAAACTCTAATATCGTTCATATGTTTGAAATTATTCTCTTTGAACATTGTCCATATATTTTGACATGTAGATGATAAAAGCTTTCTTATTATGTACTAATTATCAAATATCCCACGAGAACATATTATATTGAACGATTCTTTTCTTTCAACTTTCTTCGTCTTCTGCCATGAAATTATATTTTCGCTCTCTTTCACATTTTCTCTTTCTCTCTTTTATTTTTTCAACACATACATCTCAGAAAAATTTCGTCTGTTATTTATATCATAAGATAACTATGACTAAATTTTAAAAGTAGATTTGTGAACTTTTCAGAATTAGCTGAACTTTTTTGTTTTGTTTTCTATGAATATAGTTGAACTTTAAATATCTTATCAGACGATAAGAAATAAAGTTAATTAATTCCATCGTTAAATGGACATATGCAAACATACGAACAAATAAGTTTTATTTTTTATTTTTTATTTTTTATTTTTTTTCTTATCAAATCAAGCCGCGTAACGATGTTTAACCGTTTAGAAATAATTGTTCATATTGATCAATTTTTTTGATAACAAAAGAAAAAGAGAAAAACTAATATCGAATTCTATGTTTTTCTTTCATTGTAGACTTATGTAATATATGTAGGAATGCTATTTATCAAGCACGAAATCAAATCTTGACATTTAAATATTTATTCGATATGTTCTTGGTGTTAGTGTTAATGCCACTTCTTGTTACAAGTTTAGAATTGGGTAAATTAATTAAATTTCTTTTTTGTCAATTAATTTTTGTTATTATTATTTATAAATTTTTTATTCATTTTCTAATAGATACTTGTCGAGCGCCACTTGGAATGCAATCAGGATCAATACCAGATGTGGCCATACAAGCGAGCTCTTCATTAGATTCAACACTCGGTCCACAGACAGCACGGTAAGTATCATATTTGACTTTAATTCGATAGAAGGATGTGTACCTAATTGATAATTTGTTTTTAGAATTCGATCTTCACTCGAAGGTGGTGGTTGGTAAGTAATAAACAAAAGAATAATGATGAAACAAAAATTTATATTTGTCTCTCTTTATATTAGGTGTCCGAAACAAATGATAGACAGTGAAAGTAATGAATATTTAGAAATATCATTTAATAATTTAACAGTAATTACATTGATCGAAACTCAAGGAAGACATGGTCTATTTCAAGTAAAATTTGATTTTTTTCGAACATTTTCAATATATGTACGATATAAAATTTATTATTTTTTATTTAAATTAGGAAGATTATGTTAATTATTATCGACTTGAATATAAACGTGAAAATAATTTACCTTGGATAAAATATAAAGATTATCGGAAAAAAGAGGTATTTAGTAATTCATTATATATGATGTATTTTTTCATAATAACCAATTTGATTTTTCTTGTAGATTCTCTATGGTAATTCAAACAATAATATAGCAGAAATTCGTGAAATAACGCCACCTATTACAGTCATGAAATTACGTTTCATTCCTACACATATGAAGAATAAAAAGAAGAGAATGTGCTTAAGATTAGAATTGTACGGATGTCAAAGTTCAGGTTAGAATTATAAGATATTTTTATATTAATATTTCAGAAAGATATTTTAATTTTAGATCATGTTATTTCGTATACTATTCCACAGGGTGAACAGCGAACATTTGACATGGAATTTTTAGATGATACATACGATGGTGTTCAAAATAATGGAATGTTGACAGGTAAACAAATTTAATTTTACAATTCTAAATTCAAATTGTAATTTTTATGTTAGATGGTATGGGTCAATTATTTGATGGTGAAACGGGTACCGATGATTATCGTACAGATTCACAAAGTCTTGGTATTCGTGGTTATGAATGGATTGGTTGGAAAAAAGAGTCACAACCAATAGATATTATATTTTATTTTGATGATATAAGAAATTTTACTGAACTTCTTATTCATACAAATAACATGTACACAAAAGATGTTCAAGTATTTCGTCGTATAAATATTAGTACAAGTTTGGATACACAAAATTATAAACAAAATATAATTATTATTGATTTATCAGATGATAGACAATCTGAAAATGCACGCTATATTCACATTCCATTACAAAATAATGTGGCAAAATCAATTAAAATATCGTTAACATTTGCGTCAAAATGGATATTGATTAGTGAAGTAAAATTTCATTCATTACCAATTAAAGATAAATCATTATTGACATCTTTATCAGCAATATCATCATCATCATTGTCAACAACGACAACTGTTGTTATACCACTTCAATTCATCATCATTCTAGCTGCCACATTATCAATTATAATTATATTCATTCTACTCTGTTTTACCATTTTGATATTAAAACATAGAAAAAAACAAAAATTAAATCGGTAAGAAATGAACATAATGTGTGTGTGTGTGTGTTTTTTTAAAATCTTATTTTTACTATTTCTATTTTTTTTAGTTATGGTGAAAAATTGATATTACAAACATGTTATTCAGATAATCCATTGAAATTACAAATTCCAGAATTTGTTGCTTGTTGTAATTTGGATAAAGATACTCAGAGTTCTGGTCGTAGTCAAAGTTCATATGGTGCAAGTTCTGATCCGTCCACATTTACTACACCAAAAACGACAGCACGTAAATGTATTATTGGCTCAATTCAAGAACAAATTCCATTATCTTCATCTTCACCACCACCACTCTTACCACAAGATACAAATTTTTATGCTTCAACTGATATTGTAACTGTAAATGAAAATACACATTTAAATACCTATTTACGTGGTATCTGTGGAAATAATCTTATGCTTGAATATTTAAATATGGGAATTAATATGCAAAGAAAAATTGAAAAAATCAAAAATGAACAAATACAATTTGGTGAAACATTCGGTGAAGGAAGATTTGGTCAAGTATGAAATCAACATTATAATATAAATAATAATTTTATATGTGGTATGTTTCATGTTTAGATTTTCATTGGTCGTACATTGAACAGTAATAAATATGTTTTAATACGAAAATTAGTCAAAGTATCATATTTAACACGTTCACTATTTGAACAAGAGACACGTTTACTTGAAACAATTGTACATGAAAATATTGCCGGTGTTTTATATAAAACGCATGATGATCTATCAATAATAACAGAATATACAGATTTGGGTGATCTATGTTTACTGATGCATCGAATTAGTCAAAATGATAAAACAGCACGATTAGAGTAGGTTGAAGAATGATTCATTCTCGCTAAACATCTATCTATAATAATGAATGTGTTCATACTCTTTTAGTCATAGTGCCATATTATTTATTACCAGTCAGATATCAGCAGCCATGAGTTATCTTGAAATGAAAAATATTATACATCGTGATTTAGCAACGAGAAATTGTCTAGTATTTACTAATTATTTAATTAAAGTAACAGATTGTGCAATGTCAACGTTACACTATTCACATCATTATTGCATTATGAATGATTCATATTTACCTGTGAGATGGATGTCTCCTGAAACATTATTAAATGTAAGTATTTAACATACAAAATAATTACCAATATCTTTTTTTTTATATTTTATTTTTTTTTCATTTTTGAAGGGAGAATATTCAACAAAATCTGATATATGGAGTTTTGGTATCACTCTTTATGAAATATTGACTATGTCTCATACGTTACCTTATTGCCAATTATCAAATGACGATGTTATTCGTCATATAAAAACATTAGCTGATTCACAATTACCAAATTTAGATACTTCATCTATATGTTCTATCCCATTTAAAGAATTAACTGATCTTTTGTATGCTTGTTTAAAACGTACGAGTATCGAACGACCATCATTTCACGAAATAAATCTTTTTTTACATCGACAGTCGTCATCAAGTAGTACAACTTACGCATAATAATCGAAGTCGATTTTTTTTGCGTGTATTTTATTTGCATTCGACGTCATAATAAGAATAATAATGAATTATCGATTAGAATGGTCTTGTTAAAAAGCATTTAAATTTTTTATTCATTTTTTTTCATGTGATGCTAAGAAAGAGTATTATTATTTTTATTTTACTGACCATAAACCTATGATCTCAAATTGTCTGATTTTTATGGCAGTGCTTTTTTTTTTCTTCTCTTTGTTTTACGTTTTATAATAAAATAAAATAAAAACTCGATAACAGAGTCGATGATGAACGCAAGCTTTTTGTTCCTATTCACTTATGGACGTCTACTACTCTATCTCACTATATTGCTATAAAGTTCTTTCCAACTATTCCACTAGCACTTTATCATACGATCACGATTAACGAAAAGAGCAATATCGTGCCTTGCGGCTACTGTTACCGACCTAGAGTGCTGACAGTGTCAATTTCAAAAGTTCGATATCTTCAATACGACTAATGACCTTCATCGTTACTAGTTATCAACTGCAGCTCTGACCAGAAGGCTAGCCTTATAGAGAGTTTTTTTTCAGCCGCCTTCTTCATATTCACAATGATTGAGAGAAAATTTTCAGCTTTTTGACAATAAAAGAGGAATTTGGCTGTACTCTCTCACTCCTTGAAACTGCTGCACAGTGGGCATCTAGGCGGACATTCAAAGAAAAATCGAAAATGCGCTTTTTCAAGATTCAAGTAATGCCATATTTACTTTGATATACGGGCTATTTAATGGTGCAGAAGCTTTTGTTCCAAGTGCTGAATTTTGAAAAAAATGTATAAGCAAAAAAGAATCTGAATACTAGTGACCTCTGAGTAAACCACTTTATTCTAATAAACGATGTCGTTTTAAGTTTGAGAACTTTACATATTCTGAATTTAGACAGTCTTAACCACCGATCTGCAAAAAAAGTTGTAGTTTAAAATTGAAAAACGCAGATTTAAGCTACAAAAAGTATAATTAAAAATTAACCTCTCACCACATTAAGTAAATAATAGTGTCCTACGGGACAGTCCCGAATCCCGAAAAATCCCGTTTGCCCCGTAGGACGGGACAAACGGGATCGGGACAGTACGAAAAAGTTCGGGACGGGATAACACAGAAAAAAATTGCCTCGAAGTATAGTTAACTTGTTTGTCATAGCTACTCTTAGTCAACAATATTCTCAATGGCTAACATATATTCTTTTTCTAATCGAGATCAATAAATATATACAAAGAAATCTCACTGGAGTATGTTAACAATGTTCTATATCATCATCGTGTTCATCAACATCACTATCATCCACTTCATCTTCTGTCGTTGGTTTGAGTTTTTTCGTGAGCGTAGGTGATGCTGATGGAGTTGATTCTACTGAAACAGCACCGTGTTTTCGTTTTTTGAATTCTTCGACTGCCGGCGGAAAAAATTCTCTCAATGTCCATAAATTCCGACCAAGAAACAAAAGATTATTGACTTTTTATGTCTCTAATTTAGTTCGCCAGTATATCAGATTAACTATAATAAATTTACTTGGCTGAAGTGACATCTTGAATATTTTCTGTCGAAGCGGGACAAACGGGACGGGACAGGACTTGCCAAAAAAGTTCGGGTGTGATGCGAGGATGCCAATAAGTCTCTCAGTCGACTTAAATACAGACATGACAAAATCATAGAGTATATCCGTAGAAGTGAAAGTCGTTAGATGAAACTCGTGACCAGACTTCCCAGATGGTCCGCAATTTGTCCGCTGTCCGCTATTTGTCCGCATTTTGAGAATTGTCTGTTTTTGCTGTTTTTCCCCTGTTTACATATAACATTTAAAAAAAGAATGTCTATTTATTGAGGATTCTCTTTCTCATCCTATTGTCAAACCAACACCATCTCCAAACGTGCACAAATTAGTTTCATTTATATTTTCGATTCCGTGCAGTAATTCATACGTCGAAAGTGCATTTTCTTCCATGAAACATCTATTTAACGATAAAAGAAATCGTATGTCGACAGAAATGATTGCAGCTGAGTTAAAAATTCGCTTAAACTCATCGTTATCATGCACTGAAATTTATAATTATTTCTTATCAACGCCAGATCTGCTTAAACTTATTCATTCTAATCAAAAATATACAGTCAAAGAACAACGTGTCAACTAAAATCGGGACTTATATTTCTGTTTGTTTTTCTCTTGTGTTTTATTGAATAAAAGCACAAAGTGCTAGAGAAAACATTTTTTTGACTCTGTGCCAGCAGAGTTGCCAGCTCAAGCGCCACAATCAATGCCAATACGGCAGAAAATCGCGTCGATTATGGCACTCCAGCTGGCAACTCTGTGATTGTGCGTGAAAACGGATGAAGTTAGACCATGAAAATGTGTTTCCGCTTTTTGTTCGCATTCTGAGAAAAACTTTCCGCAAGTTTCCGCATTTTGGGATTTTTATTTCGCATTTCTGACCTGAGGATCTGGTAACTCTGTTCGTGACAGAAAAACCGTGAGCAGAATAACCCTAAGGGAACTAGAGACCAACTATGCTGCGCATAGATTGGAAAGTCGACTAAGTGAAAAGGTAAACAGACGAAATAAGAAGATTCAGAAACTGATAACACTTTGACTACTTTTCAAGAAGAATTCCTATATTCCTATATCACCTGATTCATTGTCGTGTCATATGCTCTAGCTTTCATTATATCCATTACTGTAGTATATGTGCGATTTGCGCTGGTATTGTACGGTGTGAGTGAAAATTTTGAAAAAAAACTCGAATTAAATCTTTTCTCCGTTAAATCATATTTTACTGAAAAATTCATCTGTTACAGTTTCTGTAATTCAGACAGCAAAACAAACACTGCTGCGGTAAGCAGCGTGCCCGATAGCCTATGTATCATATGTTTTTGAGGTTCCTAGAGAGCAAGTTTGGTCAATAGATAGGTCTTCCGAGATCGCCTTTAGCATCCGAATCATGGTAGATGAAGGTGCCCGCCTTGCGCCAGGTTAGAGAGCGACTGCTGTATACTCACATATATTTAGAGCACTATGTCAACATGTGGATTTTTCGAATGAGAGGCTCGGACTGTTTACTTCAAAAGGTGCACTGTGATATACCTATCGGATAAGGCTTATTTTAACATAAGATTATGTCCCCAGGTATCCTCTTTCATAATCTCAAAACCGCAGCTGTTTAGCTCATTCCGTTCTCGAGTTATTCAAAAAATATTCAAGTTCATTGTATTTTGGCGCCGATAGTAGTCTGGTCTTTTAACGATCCTCTCAAAATTCTGTTTTCGGTAAAGATTTCAAAATTTGTTTTGCTTACGAAAATACGCCCCGCAACTTCCTCTGTGGAATAGAGGAAGCCACACTCGTGTATGTCTTTTCGTTTAAAAGTTGTTCGAAAAATATTCAACTGCATTTTATTCTGAAATGTACAGTGGCCAGGTTACAGAGAAAGCTAAATTTTAAGAGAACAAAGTGACTAACAGTCGGGAAATTTTTTTTCCCGCAATCACCAATGTTAACATTATATAACTTAATAACGGAGAAAAGATTTAATTCGAGTTTTTTTTTCAAAATTTTCACTCACACCGTACAATACCAGCGCAAATCGCACATATACTACAGTAATGGATATAATGAAAGCTAGAGCATATGACACGACAATGAATCAGGTGATATAGGAATATAGGAATTCTTCTTGAAAAGTAGTCAAAGTGTTATCAGTTTCTGAATCTTCTTATTTCGTCTGTTTACCTTTTCACTTAGTCGACTTTCCAATCTATGCGCAGCATAGTTGGTCTCTAGTTCCCTTAGGGTTATTCTGCTCACGGTTTTTCTGTCACGAGTTTCATCTAACGACTTTCACTTCTACGGATATACTCTATGATTTTGTCATGTCTGTATTTAAGTCGACTGAGAGACTTATTGCTTTTCACTTGGAGCGTTGCCTAGCAAAATTCTTCTTTCTTTCCACACTGTGTTTTCTCGTTCGAGTCAGACACTCGTTCTTAGTTATTTCTGATCGTACAGGTTTGCGAAAAAGACGATTTGAAAGTGCAAGGATTGTAGATGACAAATCTGAAGTTAGTTTTCGGATATTTGCTTTAGTTATCCTATAATAAGTGTCATAAAATAGGTATATTTTTTTTAGAAACTATCGTTTTTCCTATGAGATAATTAATCGTCACGTGATGTCGTTCGTACTCGATACATGCTACAGTGCTTATGATACGATAAATATATAACAGGATAATGAATCATCACGTGAATTATTTCATAGTGAATGTATGCTACGATACTAGATATGATGTAAGCTATACTATAGTAGATAATGAATCAGATGATATAGGCATATAGGAATTCTTCTTGAAAAATAGTAAAACTGTTATGAGTTCGTGGATGTTCTAATTTTTCGTCTGTTTACCGTTTCACTCAGTCGACTTTCCACCCTTCCCGAAAGGCAGTTGGTCTCTAGTTCTAGTTCGATTCAGCTACTCGTTCCAGATTATGGCTGATCGTAGAGATTCAGAAAAAAGATCAGTCAGATCTATGGCGATCGTAGATGACGCATCTGAAGTTAATTTTTCTATGTACGCTTTAGTTCATTTATAATTAGTCCTAGATGATGAGCATATCTTTTTGAAGAACTTTGCCGTTTTCTATATGAGATAATTAATCGTCACGTGATATCCTTCATAGTGAATATATGCTACAACAGTACTTGATATGATGAAAGCTATACTACAGTAGAACATATGACACGATAATGTATCAGCTGATATGGGAATACAGGAATTCTACTTGAAAAAAAAGTCAAACTGTTATTAGTTTGTAGATGTTCTAATTCCATCTGTTTACCGTTTCACTCAGTCGGCTTTCGAATCTTCCCGAAGAGTAGTTAACGTCTAGTTTTTCTTAATATTTTTTTATTTACGACTTGAAATTCACGCTTTCCCCTCATTGTTTCCTACGTATTTAATACTTCAAATTATTACACAGTAATTTTTCTCTATGTACAACTCATGTTGAGTGTATGATTAAATAGTTGTCGAATGACGGTCATTTGCGTCTAGAACGCATGTTACAAAATAAATGGAATCATTCGTCTCCAGTACAAACCTTCTGATTTATATATCCACCAACATGTCACCGTTCTTAATATTTTATGTATATTATTTGTGCAAACCATCAACTGTCACATATGTGTGTTTCATGTAACACTTTATTTCCTGTTGTGAAAAGAATAGCTATAATCTAGAAACAGTTATGTTTTTGTTTATTTCATAATTATTAGGTCCAAAATACTGTTGAACAACAATCAACAAGATGTTTCTTCTTATTCATGTTCATTTCATCAATTTGAATAATATGAAATACTTCAATGTATTAAAAGTCGAAATTTAATGTTGATAGATGCGATTTAGGTTACCATTTAGTAAATACAAGAGAGTTTAAAAAAATATTTTGTACATGAAAAAAGTTATCAATAATTCCCCGAGAAACTGTATAATTCATGAATGAATTGTAGAGTTTTTTTACTTCTTTAATTTCAAAGAAGTGATTAGCACACGTAATATCGTTTGCTCAACAACAACAATATTCAGCATAACTGATTTTTATACATTGAATTGTTGTTGTTATTGTACGCGAATTATAATAAAAAGTCTTCATTTTATGAAAAAATGTCTGCAGTTTAAATTAACTGTAACAAGGAATTAATATCCACAAGCATAAATATCATTTCAAGATGAATTCTCTCTAGAGAACGGATATGTAATAATGCCTATTGTATGTAACGACCAATCTGTAATCACTAGTCAAATTTTTCTAGCCACTTCACAAGATGACGCTGGTCTCATACTCATATAAATAACATCTTTTAAAAGTCTAACGGTATAATTCATTTTAGAACATTCCCAATGATTTAACAACAAGTATAACTATTTTAGTAACACTTGTAGAATATAAACTAATTTCTCTATATTTTCATTAAAGGTATATCAGAATATCGTTATTAATGATAGAACCATCGTGAATGTGTTAGATGTATGATAGAAGAAACTTATTCTCTGTTTACAATTGATAGATGTTTGGATATTTATCATCGAATTGTCTATTTAATTTTCGAATATGTTAGCTGATATTGAGATGTCGTACAGTGGAATGTTTTATCAATCATGAGAACGAATATAAAAATGAGAATACTAATAAAATATGAGTTCGTTCCATGGTTAAACAAATAATTGTAATTATAAAAAGTATCATTTGATAATATGTGATATTATCTGTCTTGTCAAATTTTGATTCTTGCTCGAAACATCAAGATTATTATACTAGTCTATTTCGGTGGTAAATAATACGAGTATATAAATGCAAGGAAAAAATTGCACAAAAAATATCACAGAACGGTTTCTTTTAACCCTTTAACACTCAAAAATGTATTAATTTCATGTGCTAGACAATTTTTGGGTATAAAGCCAACTTCATTTGTATCATCTTTTTGTACAAATAATGTATCTTTACCAACTTTTTTTAACAATTTTACTTGATCTCCACGTGAAACGGAAAATTGTTGATTGCTATAATTATTCCAAACGAGAAATGTTCGTTGCATTGATCTCGTTTTAGGAAAGGGTACAGGCGATGAAACTAAAATATGGTTGTTATTATTATCATCATCATCAGCGTCACTTTGATCAGCAGTTCGCAATGAATCAAGTTCAATGGCAGCTAAATTCAATTCACCAAAAACATCGGAATTTGATAGATTTGTGTCATTTTTTATGAACGACAATTGATCATTATCAGCAATTATTCCAATTGTAGTTAAATGACGCTGTAATGGTCTATGACGACGAGCAGACGTTCTTGATTTCTAAAGCAAGACAGAAAAAAGTAACTTGTTGTTACAACATATCATTAAGATCTCTTACATGTGATGATAACAATTCTGTTGATAACGATTGTTGTTGATATGAATGCCATACTGAACTATCGCATGATAAATGACGTTTTCGACGTCGATTATTTTCGTTATTGATTGCATTCTCTTTGGATGAGGGTGTTTTAGGTAATGGTTTTATATGTGGATAGGAACGACTGGTTGATAAATGTTCAGAAGCTATCGTATGTTTCTTTATCTGTTGTCGAAAATTATCACTTTTTGATGATGAACTATAATACGGATTATCTGATGATGACGAAAAATGACTACTGTCAAAAGATGGCTCAAATTCTGGTAATTGGGGTGATGATGCATAAGAAGACGATGATGATGATTGTTTTAGTGGACGTAATTTAAGCGGACGTTTATAACAACTTTTATTAATATTTTCCAGATCCACAGATTTTATATCAAATGATAATGGCGTTGTCATATTATTTTCAAGCATTGTTAAACACATTTGATTGCGCATAAATAGCGGTCGTCTTGTTCGATTTCGATTGTTCAGTGAGGAAATAGTTTGTTTCTCAGTATGGTTTAGTGTACTAGAGTGACACTGACAACAACAACAATGATGATGGTGATATTGACAATGACAGCTAGGTTGTAATTTGGCTATTTCAACTTGTGGATTGATATTATAGGCATAATAAGACGGATCATTTGGACTTTTTCGTTTCAATTGTTGAACACTTGTTTGACTATCAGAATAACCGGAATCTTTCATACTTGATGTATCGATATGATGACGATGATGTGTGTGAAATGAATACTGTTTTGACTTTGAACTTCGATGTGGAAGACAATCTGGCGGTATGTTCTCGTTAGGTCGATATTTTACTAGCGTGGTTGATAACCGATCAAAACGTGTTGAATAAATTGACTCACAATCGTCTGATGCCGATGTTCGAGTTGAGCGTTGTGTTCTCGATCGTGAACGAAGAACATGTTTTGAACGACGTTGACGAATCGGTGAATGAGATACTAAAACAAATGAAAGATATCTTAATAAGTTTTAAAATCAAACTTGAATATACTTTACAGTCTCGTGATTTATGACAATGTTGATTTCGTTGACATAATTCATCAGCAGATTTTGTTCGTGATGGTACATGCCTATTTTTTAAAGAACGACGTGTCGATAAACTTGATCCAACGGAATTACTGTTTTTGATAACCTACAATAAGAGATCATCAAATATTGGTGATCGTTATCTCATGTTACATTTGACAAAAATAATTTAAATGTTGTCCTTGTATAAAGTGACTGACTTTTTTCATCTTAGATCTAAAAAGATGTTTTCTCATTTTGATCAAATATCGTGTTTAGGAAACACAACTACCAATCAAATTAGACATAACATTTTGCATATCTACAATTAGTAATTTCTAACGTATTCAGTCATATTTTCGTCTGCCAAATATTTATTTATATATAATATCAAGTATTTGTTGATCATTTTATGAAAGTGAAAATAAAAAGAACAAATAATTATTATCACTATAAGATAAATTACATGTTAATATTAATAAATTAAATTAATAGAAGTAATGCAACTTCCATTGTTTGTATAGTCAATAAGTGTATATGGAAACTTAAGGAAGAAGTGATTTCACACTCTTAATCTGCATGCACTCTCATGCAAAAAACTAAACATCGACATTTTTGTAGCTAGAAAAGTCAACTTCTTATTTACATCAAGAATAATGTCCCTTGACGAGTTATCGATACAATTTTTGTTTGCAATCAAAGACGAAGAAAAAGAGGGGAAAAAAAAACATCGTTCAGAATCGGGGAAAAAAGCAAATTTCACCATTCATTATTTAATTGACAGGAAGTACACATGCAACGAACAAGTAAAACAGAGAAGACGGTTTAATTATTACACAAAAATAAATCTCAAAAACAAGTTTTAGACATGCTGAGAAGATTCTTTTCTACTTCAAAATCTTATAAGAACAATACATACATTTTTTGATAGATTTTTTGTGGCACAACCATTATATTCTGGAATTGCTGAAGAACAATTAGCCATTTGAAGCCAAGATTGTAGTTTAACAACAGAACGAGGTTGATTAATAACAGCAACCGATGAATATTCATCTTTTTCATCAATATTATGAATATCAATTGAGTCTAAAAAAGACAAATGAAATATTAAATTATATAAAATAAATTCATTTCTTCCATACAATGATTATACTTTAATAGATGAAACATATAAAAATTAAAATATTTTAAAACAAAATCAAAATCATCAAAAATCGATCAGAACAACAAGAAAAAATATTTTAATCTGCCAATTTTCACATTCAATACAAAATCTTATTAATCGTTTTGCACATTTTTTCTCACCTGTATTTCACAAATAAAACGATTTTGATAATTATGTAGTTTTTCATATTACTCTATACTTTTTCGTATTAATGATGTGAAAATAGAATATAAATTACCTGATCGTTTATAATTTGATGTTTTTTCTGTAAACTTTGTTGAAAACGACCATCGAGCTCTATCAAACATTCCATAGATTAATTTGAACATTGATAAGCTTTAATTATAGGTAAATCACTATATAATATTAAAACTAGTCAATGGATGTGTATTATCGTCATAAAATAGAGACAACTGACATTTCACTCTTTCCGATATATTGATAAAAGGTATGAAAAAAAAGTCAAACAAGAAGAAAAAAAGAGTCGACAAATTGTGCGAACAAAAGAATAGTCATCGAGTCATAGATAAACAGACGATAATTAGAAAAATCAATATTAAACAATATTTTTTTTTGTATAGCAACGATAATCGATATCCGTTCTACCGTGACACACTGCAATAGATAGAATTTCCTTCAAAAATGTTATCATAGATAGATTGACTACAAAACATCATCTATCTTTCTCATTCTTTTCAGAATATCGTAAAAAAAAACAAAAAAAAAACGAGAAAAGAAAAGAAAAAAAAAGAAATAACGGAATATTAATAGTGTCGTGTATCGTTCGCATCGCTATTTCTTCTATTATCTCATACAAATATCGTCCGAATTTTTCTTTTTTTTTTTTTCTCTCTAAAGGTGTTATATCTTTTAATATATATGATAGGCGTTCTTTTGCAGGTGAATTATATTTGTCCAATTATTTAACTCTTTTGAATAAGAGTATGCTTGTTTAACTCAACTCATCAGTAATAATGAATACATTTATTACAATATAATAAAACAAAATCAATTTTTTCCCATAATTTTACTAAAAAATATTATTAAATTCTTTTTGAATATTGTAATTCAAGAGAATATTCAGATATGAAATGAAAATGTTATTTCCTATCGACTTAAACTATTGATAACATGTGTCAGGTTTTTTTTTCCTATTTATTTAAGAAAAAATAATGAGATGTTAATTGATTGAAACGATGTCTACATAATAAATGTACTGACGTTTGATAATAAAGTCCTTGCCATCAATAAGTACGAAAATCAATATTGATTGTAAAAAAATGAGAAATGACGATATTTCATTGTATTTTCTTGATCGATCATACATTATTATAGAGGACACAAGTTATATTTACTTCTCAAAGACATCGGACAGTTGATAGAAAATAACTTTAGTTTGAGTCAATTAAGTGAATAGACGATAAAGAAGAAGAAAAAAAGATGGAACAATAGTTTGTACCGTTCGTTTGTTTATAATTATTTGTATCCAAATGCTCTATGTTAGTGATCTGTTCATAATTAAAATAAAATATCTACTTCAAAAAAAATACTGTTATATACTCAGATGTATAGGCAAATAATTTTCTAAATTTAATTAATATTGTACTAGAAAATTATTGTACTAGAAATAGATTATTTATTTGTGTTTATTTTAATGTTAAATTACTTTCCTTCAAGATGTCACATAATGAATAGACAGAGACTATTAGTTGTTTATAGTTTTTGCCTGTTTGATCATACACGTACATAATATTTATTTGTCTAATAAATCATTAGTACGATACAGGAGTATTCTATAATCAATTTCTTCTCTCAATAATAATAAGAATATTAGAAGAAAAAAATTTCTTTTTTTTTTGTTTTTTTTGTTTAGTTATTATACTAAGCTGTATCGAGACAATGTTGCCTTTGTGACTATAATAAGCGTTATTAACAAAACATCTGTTATCGAACACACAAGACATATTTTGTTGGGAATATCATGCATAGTTAAGCAACTGAATATACAAATATAATAAATTTACAATACCTTTTTAAATAATTTGAATATTAAATTGAAAAGATCGTGATAGTATCGTTGATTAACGTTAATATTGATGTTAATCTTCATTAATCTAGAGATATATATTATAAGAGGCACAAAGTACAATCTTTCAATCAACATTTTCTACTAAAACTCTCATCGTCGAGAAAAAAAAGTCAATAATGTAAAATTCGATATATTTTAGTCAAAAAACATATCATGAGACTTTAATTAAAATGACTTTTTTTGTTTTCTCTAGAAATAAATGAGTAAGATGAAATAAACGAAAAGTCATTTAAGAATTAAGTAATAACAAAAGTCAATTAGATATTAGTAAGAAACAATAATTTGATAGTTTTACATGTCATTTTTTAATCATTAATTTACAATACGAGCGACGAGAGTATTATAAGGTAGAGTAAGAATCAAAATTAAAAACACCTGCAGCATTCTTAACTCAGACGATTTCCTGTGAGAGAAGAAAAGTATAAAATGTTCACGTTATCTATTTGTTAACGTAATGAGTCTTACGTAATATCAGTCTATATTCATTTTATGTTTGTGCTCATATAATTTGAACTCTAGAACAATTATAAGAAAATAATCATACTGATAAAAACATTTGACTTTTTATGAATCTTTATCAGACAGACGCCCATGCATACACATACAAAAAAACTCATATCTTGACCAATCATTTGAATAAGAATTCTCATAGTTAGAGATAACAGCAGACGCTGCGCATATTCTTTTGTAATATAAATGTTCAGTTCTACTAATATACGCAAGAATGGAATGTCATCTATTTCTTATTTTTACTAATCATACAATGCGTAAATATCATTTGACGGAAGAAATTACACATACTGAATAAACAAAAAATAAACAATCTGTTAAATGAGAACGAATTTATCATATGAACAACCATATGTATGATAAATATGCGCATAATGATTGATACTGACGTACAACAATCAATAATCTCACAAAATAGTGAGAAAATTAAACGTTCATATGAAGAATAACTTGATATTGTTTTAAAAAACCTCAGTTTTCAATGTTCATAGAGCTTTTTAGCGCAACAAAATCAGTATAAAACATTAGAAAAAAAAAACCTTTTGAGTGCATACTACGATCATATTCACTGATATCCCATTGATTTATTTAATCGCACGATAATAAAATGCATATCTCACATAATAATTGCCTATTCAACTTTTGAATCTCAATAATCTATCTTCACATATGGTTGACTGATAATAATCGCAATACACCAATAAAGCAACGAGTTAAATAACCTTAATGTCGGATAAAGGTTAAAAATATTCAAAAATGATAATTTTACTCTGTTCAATGAGTAATCAAACGAGGAAGAATGAAGACGTCATGTGTCTCCAATCAGCTTAGAGATCTGTTAAGACCTGAAACTAATATTCTTTAACTGTAATACTCAGCTGTTATCATAACATAAAGTCTGTTTCTATTACTGTTCAATGAAACCAACAGCTGTTGAGTAATTTTTCAAAAAAAAAAAAACGATTCTATAGCTATGAGAAAAGATTCACACAGCTGGATCGTTCATTGGAAAGAAATGAGAATTATTTACCTTGTTTACAAAAGAATTCTTTCAATTTTTTCAACATATTCCAGTTTGTTCTTGTTAATAAAATAATATCTAGGTTTTCAATAATTAGATTTGTTTGTTCGCGTTAATGATGACACGCACAGACACATACACGCGTAATAATTGTCTTCCTTATTCTTAAACACACAATCGAAAACAGTTCTTAGCCTTTTACTCCAAGGTCAATTTTTTTCATTATAATTGTCCATCAGCATCATCTTGATTTTGTTTAAAACATGATGGTGCAAGAAAAAAAAATGAGAGAAAAAAAAGTAGTAGTAGTCACAAGGGGGAAAATAAAGTGCGTTGCAACAAAATGGCACTAATACAAACAACAGAACAATTGAATTATATAATAATAACACAAAAAATAGAAGTGTTGAACGTTCTTGTTATACGATATTAGTATTTGTTGTCGATTGATTTTTTTTTTTCTTCTTTTTCCGAAACTAACGCTATAATAATTTTCTTTACAACATACATTTAAGTGTATAGAGTGGCTATATACATAAATCTAATCTATTGCTATATCGAAGAAGTGAACACGTTCAATTCTTGTTTCTTCTACTTCTTTTTATGTTGAGAACGCCGAGTGACTCTTTTCGCTTTTTTACAATTTCTAAAAATTGCGAAGTTAACAGCTTCGTTCAACATAGTACTATACAGTGATTATAGCACCTATTGTCTCACTAATAGAAAATAGAAAACTAGACTTTTTTTTTCTTTTTCTAATATGTATGAACATAACAGAATTTGTTTTTATGCATAATACGTTGTACAATGTACTTTTTGATAGAAAAAAATGAGTTCATTTTTGTATTTTCTCTTAGTCAAATCAACGCGTATCGAGATTAAACCACCTGGCGATTTCTAAATCAGAAGTCTATTTGTCAACAAACTGCATGGACTCGTTTACTTCACTTATTCTTACAGTAAGGACAATATGATTGTCATGTATGGACTTATCTTACAAAAACTTATAGACAGTTGCTGCACTCATCAAGATGTTTTCTTGCATCCTCACCTGCAGCACCAACAAAAGTATAGGAATGAAACGTTCATCATTTCTACAATTTTCTCATGCAAATGGTGATTTACTATCGTGAAGTAACATCTCTTCTTGTTCGGATACCGTTGCTATATAAAACCTTCGAAATTGACTCAACAAATGTACGCACATAAGTAATTCAAATATTTTCCCAGTGATAAATTATCCTAAATGGACACAGACATGACAGGTATATCAACAGTAGACGACCTACTGCCGGCTACAGCGGTTTTACTGATATAAATGATGCATCACGATCAAAATTTCGTTCCGTGCTTTGGAGACCATCAAGGTCGAAATCTTTTGCGAATCAGTCCATTAATTTAGTCAATACAGCCATAGTCACAAACTTGTTTCCCATCTTATTAAAGGAGACACCCTGCGGCGAAAAACTTTTTTATTTTACATCCGATTTCACTGAAAATGTTAGGAAAATACTTTTTCACTCTTGAACTATAACCATCCCTGAGATTTGAAAAAACTAGAGGCAAAATGTGTTTTGCAGTATTCGAAAAAGATATTCAAAAAATTCTTTTTAGATCACGAGTTAGAAATGTCAAGATGGTTTTAAGGCAAAGTAAACACTTAATCTCATCGAGTACAAGTCGTTTTT